CACTGCTCGAAACACAGCAGTAACACATGCCAAACTCAGCATTAGTCCGTATTTATTTTGGGCGCAGATGTATTATTTGGATTCGCTCTTTGTACACACCAAGTGGTGACAGTTCATTAGTAGTGAATATAGCAGTCAATAATCAAGGAAGGACTTTTGGTAAGTGCTTTTAAAAAAACTGTTCAGTATTATACCTTGGAGTGCACTAATAATTCATATGTCAAAATAATAATTGGCAGTTACAAACAAATTCATTAGGTCTTTTTCTCAGCAAAACATCAGTCATCACAATCAATCAATGCTAATCTGAATATTATTTGTTGTTATAATTTTCTCCATATTAAATTTGGAAATTTGTTTTAGTGATTTAGTTACATGTGTAAGAACTAAACACAAAGTTTTTTTCCAGTTTTATATTCGTACACATTAACATAACGGAACATAAACATAATTAATCAAAAAAGGATGTCCTTTAAAGGGGGTGCATACATTATTAAACTTCAAGAAACACTGGCTCAAACTATGCAAACATGCAGCGGTCTTAGTTTTCCTGACGACACTCCTAAAATATTCTCTGTAAGACAGGAAATCCTCCCAAATATGCAAACCAGGAAGAAGCCGCTGTTGGACAGCCAGCCTGCAAGCTGAGGCTGGAGAGGTCTGTCTGAATCCTCCACTCTCAGTCTCCACCCTCACCAAAGGCTAGGTTTCCCCTCTTCACAGCTGCTCCTGTGGCTTCGTTACCAGAGCCAATCTTTCCAGCCAAGCAAGGTGGCCAGACTAGCAGGGATGAGAGAACATGCTTGACAGGAGGTCCTGGGAAACCCAAGGAGGGAATGAAGCATTTCACATGCGCCTCCCCTGAGCGGTGGAGGCCCAGTGTGGGAACACAGCCTCCATCTGCTACTGTTGCTGCCCAGGAACCACGCAGGCATCATGGGCTTGTTAACAAACCCCCACCGAGGCCTGGCTCCTGCTGGAGCTCCTGTCAGGGCTACCTGTGCTGCCAGGGCCTGATCGTCGCAGCCACCGAACAGCTGGGCCCCAGACCCACAGCATCTGTGTTGCCTTCTCACTGATACTAGCATCTCCCTTGACCAAACCACGATCCACACAAACTGGATTTCATTTACGAACACTGTGCTTGGCTGCTTTTATAACGAAGAGCAAGAGAACTCTTGTTCTTTCTGCATCTTGATTGGCATTTGGACCTTGACTGAGTTACTTCATGAATTAATTAATGATTTGGAAACCCTGATTAGAAGCAGAGTCGTGTTGGCTTCTTGGGGAAAATATATTCTTCAAGGTGAAGAACTGAAAAATCATTCACATTTGATTATCTGGCTCCATGAACCAACACATAAGCTAAACACACACACACACACACACACACACACACACACAAACACCACCACCCTCAGACAAAGAGATTTTAGGAATTGTCTCATCTTTTCCAAAACTTAGATATGTGTTGATGTTACGGAGCTGGACTGGACCTTAGAGTCTTCTGTTTCTATCCCCTAGTTTTACAGATGAAGGAACTGAAACCCGGGGCGAAAGCATAACTTTTCCAAAGCAACATGGCTGGCAAGCAGCAAAACGAGGCTGAAACCAGCTCTCCTGACTACAGTCCAGGGATCTTTCCTAACTTGAAGACAATGAAACAGACCATTCCTTCTAATTTCCCTCTCACCATCTGGCGGCTCTCAAGCATGGCACCTGCATATGATAAATAAGCCACCACATGTAGCCCCGGGTTTGGGTCATTCGACTGAACCGAGCAAACACACTGTTTGGCGGCACCAGTCAGACGGAGCTGAACTGAGGAGCCAGGGGCCCGGAAACAATGGCGCAACTCGAGGCGCTGGTCAGGCTCATCGACAAAGAACAACAGTGGGCTCGTTGCAACATGACTTGTGAACATGCAGGGATGGGGTCAGGACATTGTCATGGTCTGAATTATGTCCCCTAAAAGTCATCTGGAAGACTCCATCCCTAGCACCCGTGAATGTGACCTTACTTGAAAACAGGGTCTTTGCAGATACAACCCATTAAGATGGGATGACTAGGGTGGACCGTAACTAATATGATTGGCATCCTTCTACAAAGAGGAAGAGAGACACAGGGACAGATGTGCTCAGAGGGGAGACCTGAAGACACACAGGGAGAAGCCGGGTGCGGACAGAGGCAGAGACGGAACGATGCACCCACAAGCTGAGAAGCTCCAAGCTGGCGACCACCAGAAGCTGGAAGAGACAATGACGGATCCTCCCGACAGGTTTCAGAGGGAGCACCGCCCCACCCACACCTTGAGCTTGGACTTCTGGCCTCCACAGCTTCTGTTGTTTGAAGCCACTCATTTTTTGGGACTTTGTTATGGCAACTCTAGGAAATGAATACAGGTGGTAAACAGTTTTACTAGAACAACACATGGCTCACTTGTTGAGTGTTGATTTTAGACTTTTAAACTCTTCAAGAGCACCACCAAAAATTTCTGGCATCTGAAAGTACCCTGCAAACATGAAATAAGAGAGAACAGCTGCCCAGATGCTCTCATTTCCCCTGCACGCCTACATTCCTTCTAATCACTATTTACACCCTCTCCAGATCCCACCCCTGCTTCTCTGCCTCCACCACAAAACAGAAGCCTCTCCCGGCCATCACCCACAGGAGGCAGGGCTGAAGGCAGGGGACAGAAATGCTGACTGTGACCTGGCCCCATGGCCTCCTCTTCATGTTACAACCACACACAGGCCTCTCAGTCAGACCTTCATTCAGCAAGTCATTACTGAGCACCTACCACGAGGTGGACATGGCTCCAGCCTGGGGACAACAGACCAGGAGGCTGTCTCAGGGTGCGTCCATCAGAGATTAACCAGATAGATGACTGACTGATTGACAGATGGGCAGATAGGTGTCAGATGGGAGAGATAATAGGCAGATGATAGGTGATAGAGATAAATGACAGATGACACGTGATAGATGATTGACAGATAAATGATAGACATGTACAGAGATGATAAATAGATGATGCATACAGGACAGATGATTGACAGATAAATGATAGGCAAAAAAGGAAAATACCAGGTAGCAATAAATGGCAGACAGAAAGAATAGAGTGAGGCGATGGTGGACAATCACGGGGTTATTTCGTGCTGTCTGGTCAGGACAGTCACAGAGGAGGGGACCCTCTACCTGCCCTCCGGATGACATGACAGTTCCTGCATCCTCACGGAGGGTGTGACCAGAACCAGGACCCTCGGGAACGAGAGCGTATCTGGTGACAGAGACACCCCCAGCAGGTCCCAGCCCACCCACGTCCAGCACAGGGTCGCCTGCACTGCCTCCTGGAAGCCAGATGTGGCCTCGTGACTCACTCTAAGCAATGAACCCTAATGGCACTCACTTCCCCTTCCGCCTTCTGCCAAGGGCCCAAGGCCCAGGTGGAGCTGAAGCCTGGGCAGCCCCAGCAGGCCCTGTCACAGGCACAGCCTCTGGGCCGCCCACGCTGCACCTACAGTTTGGAGACCTGTGCTCTGGTTCCAGCAAAAATACATTTTTGTTTTAAACCATGAAGGTTTGGAGGTTATTTGTCAGCACAGCACAGCCTGACCCTCCATCTCCAAAGGTCTGGGGAGCCTGGGTGGGGCTGCCCAGGGTGAGGGTGCGGGGGCAGGGGCTAAGGGAAGGGGCTTCTCTTAAGCCTATGTGAAGCCACTGGGAGGTTTCCACAGGGAACTGGTCCACAATGGAAAGAGTAGGCAACAAGCAGGAGGGCAGGCCTCACACAGGAGGCGTCTAAGAGTGGGACCCCCAGGACCATGACCTCTAGGATGCACTGTTCACCAGCTCTGTGACCTGGAGCAGGTCACTTCTGTGCCAGGTTTCATTCACCCTTTTTTTTTTTTTTTTTGAGATGGAGTCTCTCTGTGTCGCCCAGCCTGGAGTGCAATGGCGTAATCTTGGATCACTGCAACCTCCACCCCCCGAGCTCAAGTGATCTTCCTGTCTCAGCCTTCCCAGTAGCTGGGATTACAGGCGTGCACCACCACACCCAGCTAATTTTTATATTTTTCTAGTAGAGACAGGTTTTTTAGTATTTTTTTTTTTTTGGTAGAGACAGTTTCACCATGTTGGCCAGGCTGGTCTCAGACTCCTGACCTTAAGTGATCCACCCACCTTGGCCTCCTACAGTGCTGGGATTACAGGCATGAGCCACTGTGCCCAGCCTCATTCACCTTTATAAACAAGGATAACAAAATAAGCACTCTCACGGTGCTGCGTGAGGATGAGAGGCGCCAATTCATGTGAAGGGCCTGGAAGAGAGCCACGCACCTGGTAAGCGCTCAAGAGGAGCTGAGGAATCACTGCCATTCCTGCTGCTAGAGACCCGTGACCATTCCCCAACAAATGCCAGAACTGACCCTTAGGGGCCTCTCGCTCATTTCTGCAGCCTAAGTCTCAGCTCTGCTTCAGCACCTTCCAGGGTAGGACCAGGAAAGGGGACTCCACCTTTTCTAAAAGTCAGAAGTCAATTTAGGAGAGTCTCGGAAGAGCTGGACGCTGGGCCAGCACTCTCCCCTCCAACACTCCCTGGGGAGCAGAGGCCAACACATGGGCTGGAGCACCGTGCTGTGACAAGGCCACCCTTCAAGGGCCTATCTTTGTACGCAGCTGAAAAGGGGAAATTGAGCGCCAGCGTAGCTTCTCAGCTACAGGTCACCCCAAGCTGCAAAGGAGGATGTGGGCAGGCACTGGGCAGCTGTGTTTCGGGAGGCCTGCAACGTTCCACTTCCCCAGCACTCTCACATGGGATCCCTGGGTCTCCAGATTCATAACGTGCACGGAGGGATGGCTGGCTGAGAAGTTTTGAAATCCGTCCTTCGTCCATGGGGTCTGATGCCAGTTCTACTTAATACTTTGTTTTTCCAATTCTAAGCATCAGTTCCCTGCCAGAAAATGAGTTGTGTTTGCTTCAAAAATACTACAAAATGCAGAACTGGTGAGTACAAATGGCTCTAAATTTAATAAACATTGTTCACCCAACCAATGTACAATATTTTTCTTCCCACCCTTTCAAATCCTTCCTTGACCTTGAAGTCAAAGTTTAGCTGGAGGATCGGCCTCCCATGCCCGTTCTGGCCTTCATTCCCAAGTTCAGCCTGGACAGTTAATTGATAACAGGTGCGTCACCCAGGGTCCTGGCCGCGCTGACCCGGGCTGGAAGCCTCCAGCGCCCCCAGCGGCAGCCCTTCTGCAGGATTTGTGTCCCAACCCGGTTTACTCGGCAAACAACAATGTGGGTGTGGGTGGAGATGAGAAAAACATCTGCCTTCTCATCTGGCTTTCAAAATACAGTGTTCCCTAAAAGACTGGAAGGGAGGACAGAGAGTTCTAACTGGCTGGAAACTCCCGCCCAAACAGATGACTTGGAAAGCTGATTTCATTCTGGGGGATGGGTGTGGAGTGTTCTAGACCCACCCAGCAAGTTACAACCTTTCTCTTCATTCCTTCCTTTCCAGAACTGGTTATGACTATTTTTTTTTTAACCTGAGCATCCACACCATATCAAACACCATCCAAGTACACATATTTTGTGTGCAGTAGGTTGATAGTTTCTAAAAGAACACACAAAAGCATGTGAGCCAGACTTAAGCATCACCAAGGAAAAGGCAAAAGGGACCCTATCCTTCTGTGGCCTGTCAGTGAAGACTATAAGAACTGAAAAGGAACCCTGTTTCCTCCATCAGGTGCTGCCCCCTTGCAAACGAGAACGGTGGCGAATCTTGTTCATCAGACCATTCCTGATTCTGCACCTCCACACAGATGCTCCGTCGCTCTGCAATATCATCCAGTATCCAACATCAGGTGCCCACAGGCACAGCGGAGAGCTGGTGTCATGAAGGGCTCTGATCTCCAGAATGTTTCATTTTTAGACACAAGCACTTACATTCTGCAAGAAGTAATGAAATGTTGGCAAGTAGCAATTGTAGGCATTGGTGCAGGGGTTAAATAAAACTTTCCCTTAACTCGCTGCTGGAATAGATTAGAGAAATCCTTCAAGACATAAACTGTGTGAAGGAGAAGACAGATTGCCTTTCTTCAGCTGACTGAAATTTTAATATTAAAAATTAGGCTTCTATGAAAGCAGGAAATGGAACAGGAAATCCAAAAAGTAACCAGGAGTGGAGAGATGAGGAAGTAAGTAAAAATCATGAAGCACCTCCGGCTACAATCAGGACCCTGAGGTTTCACTGCAATCTCCTCTCTTTCCAGAGGTTTCTAACCTCCAGTGCTCCTCCATATCAATGCAGAGCAGGATGCCTGGGAATGACACAGGGTGCCTGTCAAACACACAGGCTCCTGGGCTGAGAGTCCGCAGCTACAGGCCTGAGTGCAGCCAAGGATTTTGCCTGTTGATTTCCAGATGACCCAGATCCACACTCGGGTTTAGACTAGTCTCCAAAACTTAGTCTTGCCGACTTTCTTCCCATATCTATGAGCATGAATGTCGGGCCGTTACATAAACAGCACTGGAAAATCATTACAAAATTCAAGAAAAAAATATCTGAGCTATTTAAGTACAAGGTTTACTATGAGTATTATTTTGGCTTCATTTTATGTGCCATGCTAGTTTATGAACGTTCTATAAGATTTTAAGAAGGCATTTTATATTCATAATCAAATATTGAAAGGAGAGGGCCTCATATAGCTAATCTGGCTCAAAATCAGCTTTCTGAGCAGATAAGGATGCTCAGGAACCACTGATTTAGGCTGGTCTCCAAAATGCTGCTAAGTGTCAACAGCCTGTTGAAGGTGGCATTGACCTTCCCTAACCTCTAGTGTCTGTTTGTGGGTGTGCTGAGGAGCTATGAAGCGCCCACAGCCTTCAGGGAATATCCAGGGTGGTGGCGAATGGGCAGCCCTTTAAAGCCTGTGCTTCGTGCCCAGCAAAGAGCACTCCCATCAACTCTGTTATTTCAACAGGACTGGGTCCTGGGACCTGGCAAGGAGAACCAGTGGCCCTGGACTCTGGGTTCTGCCCCGGGCTGCCCAGATCCAGCTGGGAAGAGCCCAGGGTTGGCAGGGGATGAGGAGATTTGGAGGCTCCATTGACTGAGCTGCCTAAGTACCCAGTGCTGCCTTCCATCCTGTACCCCTTCCCTGCCTGGCCACAGTCAGAGCCCAACTGGAATGAACTGCACTGAAGAGAGAAGCGGCTGCCTCCCCTCCCTCCCTGGGGCCGCAGCCCTGGCTTCCTCTCCTACAGGAAGGGAGGTAAAGCTACTCCTTACGAAGGATGTGAACTCAAGAGGGGCCACACACAAAGGGGAGCCTGTCACATGGGGGGAGCAAGTCAGGATGTTACTAACAATCAAAAGCTTCCTTCAAAGGTTCCTGTTTAAAGATTTCAAAGGGTAGGACTTCCAACCTGCTGGTCTCCCCAGGATGCCCCGAGGGTCTTGGGGGAGGGTACGGTCAGACACGTGGTGTCTCCCCACCCTATCAGCCACCCCGACCTCTCTCCTCAGTGTTTCCAACATAGGGTTACCTCTTAGGTGGTCCTGGAGAACATTTTCTTCTAGTGGTCACCTGGCTGAATGCATAGACGTCCCCTGAGACATCTTGCTGGAGCAGAGATGGGGACCTGAGGATACCATCACGGGCAGGCACCATTCCCAGGACAGGGAGAGAGGAACCAGCTTCGTGCCCTTTCTTCATAGTGGGCTCATCACTGAACGGAAGGGAAATCACTGTCAGTCACTCCAGCTGCCAACCTGGGTCTCCCTTCTGCTGTTGCTGGGTAGAAGGCAGTTTTGGTGACCCCAGGTCATGCACCCAGGGGTATTTATTGCCAGGGCCCCTGGGGTACATCTGCCTACACTGTTCCCTGTGGAGCTTCTCAGTAAGAGAGCCCATAATGTCTAAAAATAGTGCATGTCAAACTTCACTAAGGTTCTAGAAAGAGGCCTAAGTATAGTTATCCACTAATAAATTAAGGCGATTTGAGAAAGATTAGCTATAGGGGCTTCTCCTTTCAAGATCTGATTACAAAGATAAATTGCTGTATTAAAATATTACAAGAATATTTGTAAAGTAGCATGGCACATAAAACGAATCTCAAAATACTACTCAGTAAACATTGTATTTAATAGCATGGATCTTTTTGCCTTGTATTTTATAATCATTTTTCAATCCTTATTATATTAAAAGCCCAGCATTCTCATTTTGTGGATATGGCGGGGGGGGGGGGAAAAACAGCAAGTCTAAGCAAATAACAAGACATCTGGTTTCACAACTCCTAGTCCAATAAGTTCTCAGTACAGAATGAGGTCCGACATGGTCAACAAACATGCCATCATGCCACCCACAGCTGGACACGCAATACCCGGGGCTCCAGCTGGCCGTGGAAGAAGGGAGAGGTCTCCATTCCTCCTTCTATGATGTAAGTAAGCTCTCCTTTCTGAAGAGACCCTCAAGCCAGAGACTGAACCCCCAAATAAAAATACAACAGAGGTCAGCTCTGAGAAACCAAAATGACTCATCGCCTTACCTCCTGTCCTAAGTCCCTGGCTTCGCACACTCTCCTCTCTTGACTGTGTTCCAGGGCAAGGAAAATATCTACCATTGCCAACTACAGAACCGTTACCAATGAAGGCCACCTTGGCTGCAAACTTATCTTTGATATGGGACATTCTCCATTGCTTGCGGTGGAAAGAATAGACCCTCTTCCTTTCTATGATAATATGCCCCAACGGAGGTTTTCCATCGCATGAATAAACTAGATGACAGGTTTTCTGTATAGCGTCTTATGCCAACCTACGTCCCTCATGCACAGCTTTGGAGAAGGGTCCATAGCTCTGACTACCCTGAGCCCAGAACATCTCCATCCCTCAGGCGGTCATCTGCAGCAGTGCAGCTGGAGGAAGTAGGCACTTCAGAGCATGTTTTCACACCTTGCTACTAGAGAAGTGGCAAAGCGCTCTTGTTTTTGAGAAGTGATAACCTCTTGGAGATGAAAAAGGAAAAAGCTAAGGGGAAGCACTGAGCCGGGGAAATTCTTACAAATAAAGAATCTTATAGCAGAAGAGTTTTGCTTCTTTTGGAAACGGGATCAGTGTCACTAGTGGAATTACAGTCCTGTGGGGCGGAGAGGGGGGCACTGTTTGTCTGGCAAACAGTGCAAGTCCTTTGTCACACCTAAATATGACTAGGTTCCTCAGCTACACCGTGTCTCCCACCATGTGACCTGTGATTTCCTCCTGCTCTCCTTTCCATCTGTGTCCATAAAGACTCGGAGTGAGATCCGGTTTGCTTTTCTGCCTCCTCTGTCCTATTTGCCAGAGAAAACGTTGTGGAATTCCTCCCAGGAATCTTCCCGCAGTGGTTTCTGTCCAGCCGTCCGCATTCTGTCCTTTGGGGAAACATTTCTCCCACCATTCTGCACCAACAGGTGTACTGGCGTAAGCCTGGGGATGAGCACCACTCCGCCTGAAGATCACACCTGTCACGGGAATGTCTGTTCTGTGGACAACACTGAGGAATGCCTCTTTCCTCATGCCAAGACGCCAGCCCTCCACAGACACTTTTTAAAAACTGCCACCCACATCACAAATGGCTGCTTTTACTTCTCTCTCTACTCTCCCGGCTCGTTTTAAATGCTCCAGCTTAAATTTATCACATGTCCTCACTGGGGTTTATGGATAGCTTCTAATGTACCCGAATTCTAGAGTTATGGGAGAGAGGAGCAAATAAAGTAAAGGATGTGGCTAAACCAATTTGTAAAAGGAGAGGAAAAAAATGCAACCCAGGCAGAAAACAATGGCATTCTTTTCCTATTAAATGTAAAGCAAATATTAAACTCCTGCAAGGATTTCAGAATTTATATCCATACTCATGCATTTATATCCTAATTGCTCATCACTATGGGAACCAGGTATTTTTGATTGATACTCTAAATATAATAAAGACACGAAAGAAAGAAAAGGAGACACAGCTTTCTGGGTGTAGACATTTTTCCAGGCGGTGCTTAATGAATGTAAGCTTCTGAGACATGGTTTGTATTCATCGGATCCCCTATCCTGATAACAGACCCTAGTTCCTTGGTTTAAACTGCCAAGGATCGGACTCGCCTGGAGGCTTATGAATATGCAGACTGGTGGGGGGCACCCCCAGAGTGTCTGAGTCAGTGGGTCTGGGAGGGGCCCGAGAGCCTGTAGTTCTAACAGGTGCTATAGATGCTGCTGGCTTAGGGCCCTCTTTGAGAACTGGCTGCTTAGTGTTTTGAGAATTAATAAGAGAAGGACAAGTGGGAGATGAGACTCTGACATTAAGGATCGCACTAAAATACCTCTCCACCCTTTGCCAAAGTCCTCACTTGGTGTCTTCATGTGGGTATTCAGAACTCTAGAATTCAAGTTAATAATACAGCATGGAGGCCTGTGCTCTATGAAATGTCCTGACAACACCCCTAACTTATCTCAAAGAGACTTACTACATATTTAATTTAGGTTTCACAGGGAAGTTTTTGCATGTTAATTAAACGCCAATTGATTACTAAAGGCACATCCACTGAGGATTAACTAATGTCACTGACGTGGACTTCGGACATAACTGCAAAATCTAGTACTTAACAGAGAGCAACAATCTAGCTCATTAGAAATCAAATCACTACGGAATAAATAATTTTTAAATGTGGTATTTTTCATCATGAGATTTGCTGACACATGGCAGCAAACAGACTTGACTTGGGATAACATTTTCTAACTATTGTCCTTAGCCTGCCCTGTTTCTGAAGCTGCTCCTGCCACAGCGGAGTGCCTCTAACAGACAACCCCTCATTCAGGACACCACTGACTCGTCCACACAAATCCAAAGGTGCGGTGCACACATATTTTAGCCTTGCGTTCTAGTCTCAGAGCACAAAATGGTAACAACTACAACAAAAATAATAGCACCACACACTGAGTCTACTGTGCTTCATGGACTACATGAAAGAGGAACTATAACATCAATATTCCAGTCAATGGAAACGGGGCTCAAAGGGAGCAAAGAGTGGGCTGACCAGGGTGACGTGTACAAGTCAACGGTGGAGCTAAGGTCAAATTCTGGGTGGTCTCACCCCAAAGCTCTTTGCTTAATCACTACACATATACTGAATATTAAACATTTACAGTCTACAGAGTCTCCCTTTTCTTGAAGAGTTTTATGTGGTACATAATAGAATCATTTTACATGATACATAATAGAATATTTATTATGTTTTACAAATAAAACTGAGGCCGAGTGAGGTTGGGAGAGTTGCTCAAATTCATAGAGAAAGCCATAAAACGCCATGACTCTAACTAGACTACAAAGCCCCCTCTAAGCTCCGTCGTTGTTCTTGGAGAATCCATCCGTGTGCTTCACTTGGGAAGTTCAGAGGTATTTACGAAATGCCTTCTATGTGCTAAACACTGGCAAAATGAACTCGTTGATAATTTTTAAGATTGGTCATCTTGAATGATGAGTTACTACAGATTAAACATGGCCACGTGTTCTGTGATGCACTTCCCTATAAGGGGAGACTATATCCCCTCCCACAGGGATTTTGGGCTAGTCTATGGCCCAGTAATTATATCCCAATTACTCATCACTATGGAAACCAGGTACTTTTGACTGGTACTTTAAATATTATAAACACACAAAAGAAAGAAAAAATTGCCGGCCAGGTGCAGTGGCTCACGCCTGTCATCCCTACACTTTGGGAGGCTGAGGCAGGCAGATCACTTGAGGCCAGGAGTTCGAGACCAGCCTGGCCAACATGACAAAACCCTGCCTCTCCTAAAAATACAGAAATTATCCAGGCATGGTTCTCAGCTACTTGGGAAGCTGAGGCATGAGAATCACTCCAGGAGGCAGAGGTTGCAGTGAGGTGAGAGTGCACCACTGCACTCCAGCCTAGGCGACAGAATGAGACTGCCTCAAAAAAAAAAAAGGAAAGAAAGAAAACATTGATAAGATATAGACTGCTGGGTGTGGGCATTTTTCTAGGTAGTGATTTAATAAGTTTAAACTTTTGAGGGACAAAAGAAAAGGAGACTATAATAATCTCTTTAGTCTTCTATATAACTCATCATTCAAGCTGACTAATCATAAAAATTATCAGCAAATATGTATTTTGTCAGTGTTTAACACATAGCAGGCATTTTGTAAATTGCTCTTAACTCACTGAGTGAAGCATACAGATTGATTATCCTAGAGAAATGACAGCTTAGAGGAGGCTTTGTAGTCTAGTTAGAGTGCATTTTATGGACTTCCTGTGTGACTATTTAGCTTTGACTAACAGGGTATGGTGAAGTGACTGTAGGCCAGTCCATAGGCTTCAAAAGGACTGGCAGCTTCCACCTTGGTCCCCTGGAGCCCTGCGCTGCCAGGTAAGAGGTCTGACAGTCTCACCTTAGAGGCTATGGGGAGGTCCTGAGATGACATGGGGAAGATGAGGTATCAGCTGAGCCCAGGCTTCCTATCCCTACCAGAGTGCAGGGGCTCTGAGAGAAGCCTTCTTGAACCCCCAGGCCAGCCTAGCTACTAGCAGAAAAATCCCAGGTGTCTGAGTCCATACATGCTGCTAAAACAGAAGACCACAGACAGGGTGGCTTAACCAACAAACATTTATTTCTCACAGTTCTGGGGGCTGGGAAGTCCAAGATCCAAGCACCAGCAGATTCGGTGTCTGGTAAGGACTCGCTTCCTGGTTTGCAGATGGGTACCTTCTCATTGTATCCTCGCAGGTGCAGAAAGTAGAAAGGGAGAGCAAGCACTTGTGTCTCTCCTTATAAGGAAATAATCCCATTCATAAGGGCTCCATCCTCACGACCTAATCACCTCCCATATACCCCACCTCCTAACACCATCACACTGGCAGTGAGGATTTCAAGGTATGAATTTTGAGGGGACACAAATGTTCAGTCCCCAGCACTAGGTGACCTCAGTTAATACAACATGGAATTAAAGAATCATCCAGCTGAGTCTTGTTCAAATTCCTCATTTTCCAAATTACAAAACATAGTCAAATTGCATGTGCTTTCAGTCACTAATTTTTGGGGTAGTTATGCAGCAATAGGTTACCAGGAAAAAAAAAAAAAACACTGGTTACCTGGAAGAGGGGTGCTTCTGAGACAAAAATGACAACATGTGGCTCAGGACTGGAGACCTGGTGGTAGAGGTGGAGCAAGGTCTGGAAGGCCTCAAGACATCTGTTAATGGGGAAGGAGGGACAGTGAGAAGTTGTTATTAGAGACTGGAGTACAGACAGTCCATGCTATGTGACAGCAAAGAGTTTAATGAACCCATCCCTTGACATAACATGGAAAACAGAAGGTACAACTATGAATTCCTGAATTAGGCCTAGGAGCTTCCAGTGGGGTAGCATACAGAACTCAACTCCTAGATGTCAATGATAAAATTCAAAACAAAGATGAACCAAAAAAGGAACTGTTGGTTTTTATAAACAGAATGTAGAAGAAATATAAAGCAGCCAGGACTTGCTAGGTTTGAAAATAAAACTTTCTTATCCTTAGTCTCTCCCAGCAAAAGATTCTCAAAGGAAAAACGAGTTCCAGGGCAAAGATCAAACCCAAGACGTTATTGCAAGATTCTTTGTTAGGTCTTCAGAAGGTCTAAGGTGGTGTCTCACGGGTCATTTCAGACAGACGAAAGTCCTGCAAGGGATGTTCAAGGCATGCCTCAAAGAACTTCTCTGTTAAAAAAATGGCTTCCAGAGCTCCAGACAGCCTCTCAAAGAGCTAAAGTTAAAGAAGGGTCTGCGTGGCTCCCAGGGATTGATGTGTACTGATAAGGGGAGGGGCCTAAACGAGCCCAGCCTCCCAGCAGACTCTTCCACAGGGGCATGGGTAAAGCCATCTTGAACCCTCCGGACCAGCTCACTTGCCAATGGCCACAAAGTGATCCCTGTCAAACTCCATGTGAAGCAGAAGAATCGTGGGCCAGTGCCCGCCCAAATTCCTGATCCACAAAACTGTGAGACATAAAAAGATGATACTTTAAGACACTAATTATAGAAGTCACTTCTTATGCATCAAATAACAATTATGACATGAAATTTCACAGCAAATGAGATGATCACTGCAAAGGTCAAGTGGAAATTGTTATCACCTTCTTTGTGTTCATATCTGCATATGGTTCCACCAAGGTATGACCTGCTACTAACCATCTAACAACCAGATGCAAATTTCTTACCCTTTCTGCAGCAATAGACACAGTTCACTTACTCCTGCCCTTCTTGAAACTCCTCTCAGCTTCCACTGCACACTGAACTTATCATTTTCTCAACTCCGTTTTCGTAAGTGGCTACCACTTGTCCCTTTCTATTTTCACTTCTACCACCTACTTGAAGCCATTCTATCTCTTACCTGGGCTGTTGTAGTTGCTTTGTAACTACTATCTCTACCTCCAGGATGTTCTAAACCTCATGTCATACTAATCTTCCCAAAGTACAGCTCTGATCATATCCAGCCTTACCTCCTACCAAATGTAAACTATTCATCAGTCAAAATACACTACTCACTATTCCCCAAATACATGCCCCAGATCTTTACACATGCAATTTCTTCTCCATAGGATAACCTCTTTTCCTCACTCAACATCCATCTCAGTCTTTAAAAGTCAGCACTATTGCTATGTAATCCCTAAGCCACCACTGCACTGCTGTTTTCCTCTCTGAGGAGGTATGGAACTAACCCCCCAGCCTAAAGTCAGTCTCCTTCCTCCCAAATTCCCATGGTGGATGGCTCACAATTGCCTACCAGTTTTACCATATTTGGTCAAGTGATAAATTCATAGGTTCATCCTCTACCAGATTATATGCTCCTCAAGGTTGGGAAGTAGATCCCAGCTGTGGAAACACAAGAAGTCCACACACTCAGGAAAACAGACCTTGCTCTCAAAAAATGCTATATTCAACAAAAAGACAAGACCAGCACAATGAACACTTAGAGAACAAAATAAGACGGGATATAGTGAACTTCTAAATTACATGGTACAGATTGTAAGTGCTTTAGGAGACTGGAGAAGTAGAGGAGCTATTGTGGAGCGCTGGAATCCTCAAGTGGAACTTTGTGGATGAGGCAGAATGTGCACTTGTAATGTCAGGCTGGGAGGAGACAAGTGGAGAGGAAGGAAGCCACTTCAGACAAAGAAAGCAACATGAGCTCACAGAAAGGAGCGGATAGACATGATGCATTCACAGAAGAGTGAGGAGATGGGCCTCAGCTAATTAATTCTCCAGGAATAGGGAAACTCTCCAAGGCAGTCTCTTCTCCTAAGAAATCCCATTCTTTTCATAAGCTCACCTTATCTTTGGCTTTAGAAATCATTACGATATTTCCCAGACTAAAATCTGGGACGTGTAAGGGAAAAATATTTGAGTCCAGTATGGTTCAGGAGAATCAAGGAAATACGAGCACCCTGCAGTGGGGGTTTGGGGCAAGTATTCCCCCCACCTGTAAGAAGCACACACAGGACAGCGGACCACTCCCACAGCTGTATCCACTGCACAGGGCACTGAGCCACAGGCCCTCAGCAGCCAATCTCTGCTTCATTTGAAGAACCACTGTCAGTTTTTCAGCCTGTCCTGACTGACTTAGTGAGCCTTTCTTTAGTCATACATGTTTCCTAAACAAAGTTCTCTCACCTTTGTTTTAAAGACTGTGGATCTGTGGCCCCTGGGAGGTTTGAGGAAATTGCTGAAGACCCCATTGCCCAGGATAGAGCAAACCCAGAAAGGAAAGCAGCTGTCTGGCTCTGTACCCCAGGGGTTCTCCCTCTCTGTTGTACTTTCTCCCAAGAAGATGAAGTCTTGCACAGGTCACTGATTTTACCTAGAGTAATAAGCTGCCCCATGGAAACTATCTCATAATGTGTATTCAAGAAAAAGTGTTTGAAGGAGAGCACCCTCTCCTACCTCCCTGCCACCCACGAGATCAGAACATCCACCAACACTGCCGCCTTCTCAGGAGGGTGGAGGAAGAAGCAGCTGCCTTTCCTCATCTCTTTAGCTTTTCCCTGAGGACAGTAAAGAAGATTAGCATGAGATGGGACAATACGCATCCCACAACCACCCCACAACCCCGGTCCTCATTCCTCTGGGAGTTGGGGAAGCAGCTCTCCTAGGCTTTCTCTCGAGCTGCCTGTCCCCTCAGGCCACATACCCTGGACAGCAGGCCCTGCCCATCTGCTGGGCCCACAGGCTCAGCTGGGAAGTTCAACTCAGGAGAAAGGGAGTAGGGCGCTCACTTGGGCTTCACAAACAAGCCGTTGAATCCAGTTTTTCCAGCCAAGAGCAAATTTGACCCCTCTCTGAATTCTCTGTATCTTTTTCCACAGGTTCAGAATTCAGAAGGGGTGAGAAAACGGACTCCCTCAGAACCCTCCAACGCCACCATCCTGAAAGAAAAATCAACAGAAAGTGTACTTCATGGGAAACCTCAGCCCATGGTGCTCAGAGCACAGAAACGATTCATGCCAACAGAAATGATCCATGCCAACAGTTACTCATGTGAAATTCCTCCACCTCCTCTCAAAAGGACTCTGGATTCATGACCCCACCCCCAAATAAATAAAGCTCTGGGCCTGACATTAGTCCACTCGTTTCACGATGTTATGGGGCCTCAGCTTTGTCCTCTCCATCTTTTTCCCCAGTTCTTCTCTGTGTGCAGGGGAAGTGCCTCCCACAGGAACCAGGGGTGCCTATTGTTAGCAGAGCTGATCCCAGCCCTGGAAGTGGCACTGACTGCTTCATCGTGGCCTCTGGCACAAGCCAGCGACCTGCAATGCCTTTGAAGAGCCAGATGGCAGGAATATGTTTTCATAGCTACCTTCAAAAATAAGAGAACAATGAAACAGACCTAGACCACAGAGAAGGCAAAAAAAAGGGCAGCTCCTTTGTGACTGCAGCCTATCCGGCCCCATCTGCTCCTGGGTCTGTGGCAGCACAGCACTCAGGCTGACATCTCCATCCAGGGCTGTGGGTCCTCCTCCTTCTGGATGAACTCCAACCTTGAATGAGATCCCACAATATCCTTCTTCTGCCAGACCAGACTCCACCCATTGACATTCTCCTAACTCAAACCATGATTCTTTCTCTGTCAACTGGATCCTTGCCCCAGCCTATAAACTTGCCCCAGTTGCTCCCACCCAGAAAGAAAAAAGAAAAACCTCTACCTGTCTCTCTAGCATGCCACCTCCACTCTCCTCTACCCTGGCCAGGTGCTTCAAAGAGCTGTCCACGTGCTCCATCTCCTACCCCTCTCATCAATGCTACCTACATCTGCCCACACCACTCATGGAGACCACTCTCTCTGTAACAATCTTCAAAGATAGCCTGTACTGGGCTAAAGAGTGTCTCCCAGACATTAACATCCACCCCATGCCTGTGAATTTGAGGTTATCTGGAATTAGGGTCTTTGCAGATGTCATCAAGTTAATATGAGGTCATTAGGGTAGGCCCTAATCTAATCTGACTGGTGTTTTTATAAAAAAAGAAGAGACACTGAGAAACACACAGGGAGACCACAATGGACAATGAAGACAGTGACTGGAGTGACACATCTGCAAGCCAAGGAACACCAAGGTCTGATGTCACCACCAGAAGCTAGAGAGGCAAGGACAAATTCTTCCTAAGAGTCTCCAGAGGGAACAAGGTCCTGCCAACACTTTGATTGCAGACTTCTAGCCTCCACATCAATGAGAGAACAAATTATTGTTGCTCTAAGCCACCCATTTTGTGGTACTTTTTACAGCAGCCCTGGGAAGCTAATACATGAACTCTTTCCAGTTCTTCTAGCCACTTGATTGCAGAATTCAGCACCACAACTCCATCCTTTCTGAAATTCTCTTCATCGGTGATTTCAGCAAGATAACTTTCTGGTTCTCCTCTTAATTCTCTGCTTCTCCCTTGCCTTTTTCAATGTCAGATTCCCCCGCAGTTCTGTCCTTGATCCCTTTCTCCTCATTCTACTCTTCTTTCCAAGGAGAGCTCATTTGCCTTCTGTCCACGATGACCCCCATATTCACACCCTGCCTCTCCACCAAGCTCCAGACCCATGTCCCCAAACAGTTAACACAATTCCCACCACATACACCTCTTAATACCACCCATCCAGAAGCAAACTCATTATGTGCTATGTTCATTTTTTAACATTTTTTAAATTTTTATTGAAGGTTGACCCTGGCTATC